TTGTTGTTCCTAATGGCTGTCTCTGTGGCTGTGATGAAGTCTACCACAGGGATTTGTTTGGGTGTGACCGCAAAATTCAATCCCTTGGCTAATACCGCTTTTTCTGTGTCCGTGAGTTCTCTGTCTGAGAGATTTTTGACCAATTTGTCATTGTGCAGTGGTTGTGGGTTGTGCTCCTCCTTTCTCCTCCAACCAAGGACATCTGAGGCTGGCTGTCCATTCTGTAGTCTCTGGAATTTAACCATTTGGCGAGCCTTGCTCTTGTTATGTTGGGTAAGTTGTGCCTTTTCCATGAAACTTGAGATCTCCTGAAAGATTTCTCTGGTAACCTTAGTAGAGTCTCCTTCCTAGTTGTTCTGTTTGGTCCATCAGGTTGTCTATAGTGAAGTGTATTTGTCGAATCCTTACACTTAAAAGTTGTGCTTGCACTCTTTTCAGGATGTCCCCAGCCCTGTATCCTTTTACAGGAGAGCCCAGCCTCAAACCTCTGGGGAAGATGTTCTGTTGGCGGCATCTTAGGTTGAAACGAAGGTGGTTTCTGTAGTCTTTGACCTAGAAATCTAGTCCAGCTTGCTATGACCTGGATGACTGAGAATCTGCACAGACAAGTTGGTGTAATGCTTATCAGTTTTGCAACATTGTTTAAATAGAAAGAAAGAAAATCACTTTCGGCTTTTCCCGTTTAGGGGTCACCACAGTGAATCGTCACACTGACGTATGTTGACATTTGGCACGTGTTTCAGACCAGATGCCCTTTTTGACGCAAACCCTGCCTCGAACCTGGGCCACAGCGCCAAAAGCGCTGCGCCTTAACCACTAGCCTACCAGGGACGGTTTTTGCAACCTTGTTTAAATCTAATGCATAAAATATTTTCAAATCTAAACTAATATGACAGGCTATACAAATCAAGCAAGTTTTCAGACAGCTACAACTAACAGAAAAAAATATCTGCGGGAACTTATATTTGAAAATGGAAAATAAGCAGTGAATATTAAGTATTACATGATGGGTAGTTAAGCAGGTAAAACTTTCAGAAACACTGCTATGGTCCTTTAAGGTGTTTTGCAGCGCTGGTTATCCAGCATTTGTGCAAGTAACAGGGCAAAGGTGAACTGAACCTCTGCAATCCAGCCAAACATTTGGAAAAATGCAGACCCTCCCTGAGAGAAAGAGAGAGATAAAGCCAGCCAAAGTGAAATAGATGTAAACAGGATGTTGACAGTGTAATATAGCAGTACCTAGCTCGGTATACAGTATTGCATATACCAGGTACTACTACTACTAGACAATCTTGTCAATGTTAATTCTATGTATTTATTTATAGTACAAAGTTCTGACAGACATTGATTGTGGAGACATGTTGACTGCCACATCTGCACTCAATTGTGTTTGTTGAAATTATTTATTAAAATTGTTTATTAAAAACAACTTTTAGTTGCTTTTACTAAATGTTATGTTTATTTTAGTTTAGCGTTTTTTTCCGCTGATTTATAAAGTTCTCTCATTGCTTAGATTATTTATTAGGGTCCTTTATTTAGAAAGCGTTAAGCGGAAGCCGTTTGAATCGTAGCAGACTCGACTCTACTGGGAATGAGAGAGCCTGAGCAGAACAGGTTTGAACAGCAGGCTGAGGCTGTGTCGGTCAGACTGAAGACTGGATCAGTAGCTTTCCTGGAGGAATGCGATTTATTATTGTGGATTTTAACCAGAGAATCGGAGTTGTGGGGGTTTAGCACTGCCACAGATTATCACCTCGGCTCGGCGAGAACGGGGGGGGGGGCGGGACAAGTGAAATTCCTAGGGAAGAAGCTGCTTTTACCTTGCAAAGAGACGCCAACAAAGAGCGTTCAGGGAAGTAGCCTGCTGCCTGGCGAGGAGGTAACGTTATCGCAAGTTAGTTAAGCAACAAACAGAAAGTACGGCAGCGGATTAATTCGTCACCATGGTGGACAACAGACACGTTGGCACAGTTTTGACTTTGTTGTTTTTTATTCTGTTTCTAAACGTGGGGAAGTTTCGAGTAAACGGGCAATACGGCGGTGATCGAGGAATGTCTATCCCGGAGCACGGATTTTGCCAGCCGATTTCCATTCCGCTGTGTACGGACATTGCGTACAACGAGACAATCATGCCAAACCTGCTGGGACACACCAACCAGGAGGACGCGGGGCTGGAGGTCCACCAGTTTTACCCGCTAGTGAAAGTCCAGTGCTCCCCGGATCTAAAGTTCTTCCTGTGCTCCATGTATGCGCCCGTGTGCACGGTGCTCGAGCAGGCGCTGCCTCCATGCCGTTCTCTGTGCGAGCGCGCGCGGCAGGGCTGCGAGGCGCTCATGAACAAGTTCGGCTTCCAGTGGCCCGACAGCCTGGCGTGCGAGTCCTTCCCGGTGCACGGCGCGGGAGAGCTGTGCGTCGGCCAAAACATGTCGGACCGCACCGAGTCGGAGGGCTTGGCTCCGTACCCCACCGAGCGCACACCTTCTGACCCCATGAATGGTCAGTTCAGGTGCCCGGCTTCGCTCAGGGTGCCTCCCTATCTGAACTACCGTTTCCTCGGGCAGGAGAACTGCGGAGCTCCGTGTGAGCCAAAGAGATCTCACGGGATGATGTACTTCAGCCAGGAGGAGCTCAAATTCGCAAGAATATGGATCGGTATCTGGTCCGTATTGTGTTGTGCTTCCACTTTATTCACGGTGCTGACCTACCTGGTAGACATGAAGCGCTTCAGCTACCCAGAGCGGCCCATTGTCTTCCTCTCTGGCTGCTACACCATGGTGTCCATCGCATACATTGCTGGGTTTTTACTGGAGGATAAGGTGGTTTGTAATGACAGGTTTGATAATGAAGCAAGGACTGTGGTGCAAGGCACCAAAAAGGAGGGCTGCACCATCCTCTTCATGATGCTGTACTTCTTCAGCATGGCCAGCTCAATCTGGTGGGTTATCCTGGCTCTCACCTGGTTCCTGGCAGCAGGGATGAAATGGGGCCATGAGGCCATTGAGGCTAATTCTCAGTACTTCCACCTGGCAGCCTGGGCTGTGCCTGCCATCAAGACTATAACCATCCTGGCTGTAGGGCAGGTTGACGGAGACATTTTGAGCGGGGTTTGCTTCGTGGGTATCAGCAGTGTGGACGCCCTTCGGGGATTTGTGCTAGCACCACTGTTTGTCTACTTATTCATCGGAACCTCTTTCCTCTTGGCGGGCTTTGTGTCCCTGTTTCGCATTCGGACCATCATGAAGCATGACGGAACCAAGACAGAGAAGCTGGAGAAGCTAATGGTGCGGATAGGGATCTTCAGTGTGCTGTACACTGTGCCAGCCACTATTGTCATCGCCTGCTACTTCTATGAGCAGGCCTTCAGAGAGCAGTGGGAGAGGACGTGGATCAGTCAGACATGTAAGACATATGCCGTACCATGTCCTGTCCAGAACCACCCCAACATGAGCCCTGACTTCACTGTCTTCATGATAAAATATCTCATGACACTCATTGTGGGCATCACCTCTGGATTCTGGATCTGGTCTGGAAAAACCCTGAACTCCTGGAGGAGGTTTTACACAAGACTGGCCAACAGTAAACAGGGTGAGACTACAGTGTAATGTGGTTGCACCTTGGCCCTCACATGGACTGCTTCATGACAAACTGAATGATAATATTTTTTCCCATTTGATTTCTCAGTGACTTACAAGACACAGTTGATTTTTTTTAATGTACATATACATTTGTGAGATTTTTGTAAGTATATATTTGTATTTAAAGATTTTTTTTAATCTTACTTTAAAAACATACTTTTTCATAACTTTTTCCATGACATAGTGGAATTGTACTTAATCATCACAAAGAGCCAAGCTGGCTACCGAGGACCCCGAGGTCTCGTGACCTGACTCACTGTGGACACTGCCAGGAGTATTTCATATGGAGTGTCTGTCTTTGATCAGTGAACTGCCTGTGAGCAGTAGGCCTATTCCAACCAGTCCCGTGAAACCCAAGTGCTTCCTCATGGCTCCCTCCTACCCCGATTAACAAGCTGTAGTTTGTGTTGGTTGTACAGCTGAGTAGTAGTTGCCTGGGTTTGGAGGGAAAGCGTCAGCATTTTGGAACAACCTGTGCACCTTGCACCTTGCACAGGTTGTGATTGTGAGTCACTGTGACAGATGGTTTTGGGCTGTAGCTTAGGCCCTGACAGTAAAAAGATACTTTTCAAATAAAGTTCAGAAAATCATGATAGTTTAAAGAACCATATCAGTGTTTTTGCATGTTTTAATCCATAGTCTTTTGCTTCTCCTGATTTGCTCAAAGTTTTGTTTTTTTTCACTACAGTAAGAAAAACAGCCATAGCCTCCATAATGGCTGAGCTTTATTTTGTTTAAGTTGTTATTGTTGCATTGTAATGCAGCTATAAGAGCAAATAAATGGAAAAGGCGTTATGCACTATGAGACAATAACACAACTTTGATTAAAATAAACAACTTTACAGCTGTGTTAACTGAGAAGTAGATTTCTTTACTGTAGTGAAAAGAACTGAAACCAGGAGCTAAGTGGTAGCAGCAAAAGCACTATAACACATTTTGGTTTGGCATTAAAAATGATTAACTGTAATGTAAGTAATATGTGCTACAAGGTTCCATTGTAAAACATGCAAAACCACCGGTATGCTCCTCGTCAAAACAGAGTTAGAATGGTCTGTATTTGTATTTAATGAACTTTAAAAATGTGCCTGCATTGATGGTTTTGGTTGTTAAAATACAAAGCTGCAAAAGATACAACACAAGTAGGAGAGCCCTTTGTGTTAACAGCATGTTTTAAAATTATACCATGTTTCTGTATGAAGTGCTGTGTAAAATCACACCCTTTGAGCATTTACAGTACGTTTGCTTCACAGTCATCTTCAAATTTCATATTTTCTTATAATACACCAAGGTCAAGGGAAAATCAGATTTATTTTCACGCATTTAATCAAACAAAATGAATGAACACTGTGCAGAAGTGGGTGTGCTCATCGTAGCATCAGAGTAAAACCGAAATGATTAGTCAATTAGCTGTCGTGTCCTTTGGAAGACATTTGATTCATAATGACACTGATAATTGATTATTTACTTTCAGCTATTTTTTAAGCAAAGATTCCACATATCTACAGGCTCCAGCTTCTCAAATGTGGTGATCTGCTGCTTTGTTGCTCATGTATGACTTGAATATTTTGGGGGTTTTGTTTGCTGGTTGGCTAAAAAAACATGACCTTGGCTTTTGAATGGGCATTGTTCCCTACATGTTTGACATTTTACAGAAAAACAAATTCATGAGCAAATGATCTACAGAAGAATTCATAATGAAATAGTTGTACCAATCCTACATCAGGTTAATTGCACAAATGAAAAATATCTGGTCAAGCAATGATCTATCACACTGCACAGATTTCATGTTTAGGTTGAAACCGCAGGTTTTGAACATTATTCAGAATCATACTAATTTTGACTTTTGTTGCCAGAAAAAGCTACAAATTAATCTCTAGCATTATTTTAAGGTGTAGCATGGGTTCATTCTCAGAAATCACAAGCATATTGTGAAATGTCAGGCTAATTGACAGTTTTGGGGTCAAGGTAGGCCTGTTTTGAAAAGAAAATGATGACCACACTTCTCTGAGTTTACCTGGTGGTGCATAAAAGGATTGTGTTGTCAGACATGGAACAGTAAATGCATCCCCATGTGGTTTCTACTTTATTCAGGTTATCTAATTATAAAATCCTGATGGCACAAAGGATATAATTTTGCATATGTAAAATTATATTTTACAATTAATACTTTCATAAATGTCATTACAATCAATTTGATTTCTTAAGGGGTGTCCAAACTTTAACAAGGCCCTATAAATATGGTTCTGTCTCAAGTTGATAACAGGAGAGGTTGTTTGTTATGCACATGTCATAAATGTTTATAACAAAACATACTTTTTATTCACTTTTTTAAACTATATGTTCTTTATTTGAAGTTTGACTATGCCAGCTTTTGTTGGGAGGAGACATGGGTTGATGTGCAGAGTAATTTGATTCTGGTGAACATAGCTGCGTGTCTACACTGTGGAACTGAAGAGCAGCCAGCAGCTTGCATGTCTTCCATTGCAGGAGAAAGGAAGCCTTGTGCTGAAATGCAGAGCGGTTGCTGTCACTGAAGCTCAGCTCACACACATCATGACTTGTGTTCTTGTCAAATGCTCTTCCACTCGGCGCTTCCGTTCATAATAATCCTTTTATTGTGTTGACGGCTCTACAACAGTCATGGATTTGAAGTAATTTCCTTTGCATTTGTATGAAGAGAACCTTTATATTTATAGAAAAATACGCACACACACACAACATTGATTGCTTTATGAAAATAAAAACAATCTCACCATTGCAATTGTGAAGCCTTTGCAAAATGTTTTTTTTTTTCTTAGTGGTAAAGAATAAACGTGCTTGTTTCCCATTAATGGGTAGGTTAACCTTAATACAGGACTCACATACATTTCTTTTAAAAAAGTTGTCTTTAAGGTTATTCTTATGGGATTTAAGAGATGTGGGGAACAAAATGTACAGTCCTTGGTCTCTGTGTAGGTGCATTCAGCTGAAGCTAAAGTGAGGCTTCAGCTCTATTAGCCAAATCCAGTGGTTATTTTTAATGTGATTATCTTTGTAGTACAAAATTTTGTTAGAGCTATGGTGGAGCGAAAGTAGCAAAGATAGGAAATTGTGTGCTAAACGGGTGTGAATTTGGACGATACCAAGTTGACCTGACTAATTCAAACTGCTCAACTTTCATAGTAACTTTGGCTGAACTTTGTATAATGGGTTTTTCCTCACTGAAACTGTGGTGAGGCATTGCTTCGTGGTTAGTATGGACAGGAAGAGGAAGTAAGAGTACAGTTTTCTTTTAGGAACTAAATGTTCATGAAGTATCAATAGTAAAAGTACTCATTAAGCAGAATGGACTTCAGAGTTTTATAATATTACATTTTATATTGATATATTATTGCTTCTACATGTAATCAGCATGTTAATGTTGTAATGCTGATCATAGTGGAGCTGACCAGCTGGTAACTAACTAGGAACAGTTAAACATTTTAACACAATTTAAGTAAAAATATAATATTTATACGTTTAAAGTAGTATAAAAAGTACATTCTAATTTAAGTACCTCAAAATGTTACCTGAGTGCTGTAATTACTTTCACCAGTTTATAAAATGGGCTCAAAATAATTGAAAGTTGTGCTAATTTTAACTTGTAACTACTAGCTACACAAGCTGTCACATAAATGTAGTGAAAGGAAACAGGAAAATAAACAAAAGGAACAGGTACAATACTTCCTTCTGAAATAAAGTGAAGTAGAAGTAGCACAAAATGGAAAACTGAAGTACAAGTATCTCAAACCTGAAGAGAACCTGCGTAAAAGTACTTTCATTAATTTATTACACTCAGTGGGCTTTAATTAGGTGATAACAAAGCTTAAAAAAAGCTGTATTTGATCAACAGGGAGATCATTTTAGCTAGTAACTAGATAAGATAAGATGAACCTTTATTAGTCCCACAATGGGGAAATTCACAAAGCTGCAGTAGCAAAAGAATAGAAACAAGTAAGTATTATCAATATAATAATAAAAAGTAAAACTAATATTACACACAGGCATGCTGAGTATTTACAGTTTTACAGTCTGTAGATGTGTGGGGTCAATGGGGGCTTCATCCTTAGACCCAACACTGAACACAAGCTCATGATCAGATTACCAAGACCTTTGCTGAGGGGATGAACCTTTTTGATTTTGATGACCTCGGGACCTTTTTGGCACCACCCTCATGACTATCTCTGTCCCACTACTAACAAGGCCCTGAACACAGACAAATCATCAATATGTTGTTTGCTATAAATATTGGGATCTCTATGGACAACTAGAGGGTCCTTACACTTTGAATTTTGTGCAAGAAAGCATGATAGTATATACACGCTATACTGGCAAACTGATACATACAGTGTGTGTATATATATAATTATATATTTAAAATTTAGAATCATATATTTTATCGTTTTTTGCCAGTGGAATATGAGACTCCCAGCTGCTCTAATTGCAGTTACCCATGTTTCAGGAATGTTCTTAAGTGTATGACACTGTGTTGAACCAAGGGAGTGTGGCAAGTCGCTCAAGTACAATCAAGAAAATGAGCTTTTATTTGGCAGTCTTGTAGTTGATTTGTATTAAAAACTATTGAAATAATCTCACTCCAGGGGAAGATTTTGCAATGATCAGTGACCTACACCTAGTCCTAAAGTTAATTTGAGACTAGATGTGTTTATTCAACTAATGTTGGAGGCGAGGTGATGTCTGCATGCCCTTTGCATAAAGAAAACATAAATACATGCAATATTGAAATGACAATGTGACAGTGTGAATGGGGGTCACTTGGAACGATGAATCTGGATCTGCAGCTTCCTTTGATTTTATGAAGCTTCAAATATATAATTATATATTTAAAATTTAGAATCATATATTTTATCGTTTTTTGCCAGTGGAATATGAGACTCCCAGCTGCTCTAATTGCAGTTACCCATGTTTCAGGAATGTTCTTAAGTGTATGACACTGTGTTGAACCAAGGGAGTGTGGCAAGTCGCTCAAGTACAATCAAGAAAATGAGCTTTTATTTGGCAGTCTTGTAGTTGATTTGTATTAAAAACTATTGAAATAATCTCACTCCAGGGGAAGATTTTGCAATGATCAGTGACCTACACCTAGTCCTAAAGTTAATTTGAGACTAGATGTGTTTATTCAACTAATGTTGGAGGCGAGGTGATGTCTGCATGCCCTTTGCATAAAGAAAACATAAATACATGCAATATTGAAATGACAATGTGACAGTGTGAATGGGGGTCACTTGGAGCGATGAATCTGGATCTGCAGCTTCCTTTGATTTTATGAAGCTTCAAATAGTGGGTCTGTCTGGTTCACAGCTTCATTGCTTGGGTTTACTCACTGCTCTCATTTTTGGCCACAGTAGCAGATGGTTTTCAGAGTAAAATCTCTAAAAATTGACTGTACACAATTTGCTCAAAAGCAAACAGCAGACAGAGACTGTTAGCACTATAGTTTCACTGGTGAACATAGTAGAGCATTTAGAAGCTAAAGAACCAGACACTCTTCTTGGGGGTTGGTCAAGACCAAAAACAGCTAAAGAGATGACTGCACTTCTGTTCATTTACCAGACAGGGACAGTTTATCCATAGATGCTGTCATGTTGCATTATGGGAAGTTTGGGATCCAGCATTTCAAGCCTAACTCATACCAGGAAATAAAATGATGTCATTTCTACCTCTGCTGCTCCGATTTTTACCATTAACATTTAATCTGTTTTCTAGTGAGTCACCCAAATTTATGGAAGTGCAACACTAAAGCAGTGGACTACCCTTCATTCTAAAAGAACAATATATTTTGGTCATAGTTGGGTCGGCTTCCCCCTAATTGCATCTGTTTGTAGCAATCACTGCATATCATAAGATAATACCAGAAGCAATTAGTGTAATCATTTAGTGTAATAGGTACATGAACTGAATCTGTTGTCCCACAAGACATTAGCAACATTATTTAGCAGAACAAAACAAGCATTCGTGATCCACACAAGAAGTGATTAAGCTGTTATGGATTAAGATAATGACTTGGCACGCTAGCATGTCTATGGGATACACCTGATCAGTAAAACAGAAGATTATATGGTGGAAAAGTTATGCATATTAAGGGAAAGTCATACTTTCTCACAGAGCTGTGAATTTTGAGGAAGTTGTGAAATAATTTTGGTGCAAGATAACAACATACTTGAATTTTGAAACAAATTTATTTGCAGTATAGTTGGAGTTCTACCCAGTCCACAACCAGTGGGTCCCTGCTTTGAGTTCAGACTATTTTGTTGTATAAAGCATCTAGTTTGGGTGGATTTGGGTTTGTATCATTTGAGATTTATTTGTTTTAATTATTTCTCACACTGTGCCAGTGATCTGTGCCAGGGCATGTTATGTATTGTAAGTGTCTTCAGCCCACTCTGATGATCAGCACCTAAGGAAGTTAAACTAACTGGCTGCATCACTGTCCAGCTTAAATGGCCACTTAGGATGCTGTAGTACCTGTTTTGCAGGTTTTTCTTCCCCTGGGCCATTTTGGAAGGCATTACTACTCTACTACTCTTAGCTAGATGTTTACTACTGCTGCCACATTTTAGTTTTTACCCAAACTGTCCTGGCCACTAGATGCACATAAAGCTAAAAGAGGGGGAAAAAAAGATCTCGTAATTTCCCAGAAGTCCCTGATGGAGCCTGCCTTTGTGTGCTCAGATCGCCATGTCTGTCATTGCCTTGTAAAGCCAGGAATGATAGAGGTTTTGAAAATCAAACAAGAACCTCAACACCGTATTCAAACACAGTCTAGTTTTAACTCAGGATGATGCTATACAACATTTATAGCTTCATCTTAAATACCTTAGAGGATAAAGGTAAAGGATCATACAGCTGTTTTTGCATTTTCCAGCCCATTTAGTACAAATTACAAAATTACTTTACTTGCTACTTACTAGATAGCTAATGGTTTCAGTTGACTGAAAATATGAAAATCAACTTGTAGAGTTACAATAGGTAATACACTATACAGTGAACTACTTTATTGTCATGAGTTATGTATTATAAAATAAGCAAGTGCCAGCAATAACAGCTTTCTGCCGGGGTGCTTTAGTATTCAGATACTTTATTTAAGTAGAAATAAAAAATAAAAAAAAAGACTAACTTGTTCCACTGAATAAGAATAGTTGTTATGGGTCAGTCCTGTGCTTCCCGTTTTTCTGTTGCTTTTCCCTGTCTCCCTCTCTCTGTCACAATCTTAGCCAGCGTAATCACTCATCATCACATTCACCACTCTACTCCTGCATGTTTCTGTAATGCCAGAAGTCAGCCCTGGCTCCTGGTTGCGATCCTGCCAATTACTTACCTGTTTACGTTACCTGCTTCCAGATCCTGGAGGTGTGCTCCTGCTTACCTGTTTCCTGCTTCGTTGGTGGTTTGTGTGTCTTCCCTGTCTTCTTCAGTCCACAGCCTGCTCCAGAGACACACCATGCTGAATGCCTCTGCTTGCTCCACGAGATGTACCTGTTTAACCATCCCCTGGTGAGCCTAGCTACGTATCGCCAGCTCACCACTTATCTGACCTTCACCTGCCCAGAGAAGCTGCTACGTCAGGGGCAAATCGACCACCATGATTCCCACCTTCACCTCCACCTCCACCTTCTCTGGCTGCCTGTCCCACCCAGAAGCAACACTGTCTGTCATTCCTCTCCAGAACTGTCTCAGCCTCTGCTTTGTCCCCCCCCATCCTGTAAT